TTATAAATATTTATTTTTGAGCTTCGAATACATTTAAATATAAAAACGAATATTAAAGGAACAAAATATTTAACAAATTTGTATTTATTATATGTAATTAAACACTTTTAAAATGGAGCATGAAAATATTTTTGAAACTTTTTGATAAAAATCAGAAACTGATTTAAAATAAATGGAATTGCATAAACGAGATTTTTTTTTTTTTAAATTACATAATAAGTAAAAAACAGAAAAATAAAATATGGGAAAGATTAAAAATTTAAAAAAAGTTATTACAAATTTTAAAAAATCATAGGTAGGTTTTAAAATTTTAGTTTAAATAAATAAATCTAAAACTAGATCAAATATAGATATTAGATATATTTATTTAGATATATTTAATAGTAGATCAATATACAGATATGTATATATTATAAGTATTTCTTATTTCAATTGAGTATTCTCTACATTGTCTATTGTATACCCTACATTGATTACTGTTACTTGCACTGCCTCTCTGCCCCTGGTAAATGAGTAATGCGAATGTAATTTGATGTCAGGGCTGGCTGACAGAATTAGCATGCCTCTTCCATGTTGCATCAAATGCTGCCAGCATACCAAATATAGCGCCAATGAGTGACCACATCCCAAAGCATTTAAGTGCCAATGTCTGGAACAAAAACAGCTTCAATTTAAATTGGAAAATACGACTGAAATATGTCGCCAGCAGCTCCCCTTTCTCCTCCTTTCCATTTCACTTTCCACAAAAGAAAAGAACAAACGACAAAAAAAAAAAAACAAGAAGGAGAAAAAAAAAAAAACAATAAAGAAAAACCTAAGGAAAAACGTAAACAACAAGCAAAAGAGTGAACGCAGCACAAGTTCAAGATTCTCTCACAGTTAGACTCGGGGATGGGGCGGACTCCCAGCAGCTAAAAGTAGAAACACACGACGAGACGACGCAATAAACTGAATGCCGAAAGTAGTTTAATGCAGTTTGCTGGGGATCCTTGACTTCTGCTGCTGCTGCTGCTGCTGTTCCCAACTGTTCCCCGATGCTATTTCCCGCTTTGGCGCACGACAACAACAATAACACGAACGGCAACAGCGACAACAACAACAGTGCCTTAGYTCCTCTGCCTATGAGCATTGCCGATCCAGCTCCCGTTCCCGAGCCGATAGTTTGCTTGATCTATTTTTGGCCTAGCCAAGCCCAGCATTGTTTTGTCGCCTCGAGTAATTTGTTTGTTGCGTTAGTTTTTCTGTGCAGCCTACACTGAAGAAAATAATCTATATAAATATAAAATAAAAATATGAAATATAGAGCCAACGAGACAAACAGCGACACGAATCAAAAGAAAGTAAGTCAGAGTTCTTAATAAGCTGAGTACATAGTTCATATATAGTTCGCATGATTTAATTTTTAGTAGATCGCTTTAAGTATTTAGTTTATGTAGTTTATTTTAGATAACATATGACAGTAATTCCTTAGACTCG